AAACAATTGAGCGTCAATATAAAAAAAATGTTACACATATGTAAAAAGGGGATGCTATCTTTCCAGACTTTACGGTATTTATTTATTTTGGTTCAACTAAAAGAAAAACACATAATGATTTAATTAATTTATATATTAATAATATAAGTAAATAAACGTTTTGGTAAACCACGGGCCTAGCTACCAGTCAATGTTCTTTAAATAAATTTATTATTTTATCTTCCGTGGCCCCTCACGTGTTTATATTTCTGCGCTCCACATGATTTTACTGTTGCGGAAGGGTTTATTCGTTCAAATAATATCAGTATTTTTTCACTTCACTTTTTTTATTTATTTTTTTCTTTATTGGCTTTTCCCATTACATAATTCACAGAGTTGATTTTTTATAGTTTTGCAATGTAATAGAATAACAATCCACAAACGGTTCACTGACAAAGATAACCTTTTATTAAATGAAATAAAATAGATGCAAACAATAATAGTGTGTAAATATGAAACATTTTATTTTTTACTTATTATTATTTAATGAAATAAAGTTGCTGTTTGCTTTTTCTTATATTGATTACTGATGATGGGACAATTAAATTCAGACTACAATTGTTTTTCATGGATCAGTTAACTAAAATTTTCAATTTCTCTTTTTTTAATTGTTTGCTTAAAACTATTTCACTATTTCATCTAAGTTTAATTCCATTTATATACTTCAATTTTAAAACAATTATAAAAAAACTTACAAAGTGAACATAAAATTATATATAGGGATATAGGTATATGAAAAGTAATAATAACCAAATTAACAAACATAATGGTTCCAATGAATATGAAAGAGCAATTTATTTTTTAGAAAAAGGATGTAATTGTGGTTGCTCTTCAAGAATTTCCAAGGAAGAATTTGCAGAATTAAGGGAATCTTTTCAAGCTCTTCCTAAATCTGAACAAGACATATTTTTAATGGCCCAACTTAAGGCAATGGATGGTGGTTCAATAAGCACTAGTAGACGTCTTAAAAAGAAAAATAGATCTAACAAAAGAACTTTCTATCACTGGAATCACAATACACTTCTTTGTCAAGAAACTTACCTCAATATGCTGGGAATTGGTAGAACTTATTTTGAGAATCTTAGAAGTCATCTGATAAACAATGATCTTCTACCAAGAGTTCATGGTAATATTAAAAGGTTGCCACAATGGAAAACTAAAATGGTGATTGATAAAAATGTTGCTGAAGTAGTAAAGAATTTTCTAGAAAATTATGCTGAAGTTCATGGATTACCAAGTCCAGGCAGAAGTATCAATAGAATAACTCAATCAATTGTATTCTTACCAGCTGAAATGAGTTATAAATCAGTACATAGAGATTTTCTAGCTGGTCTGGAAGAAAACAACAAGTTGAAATCTTTAAAATATGATGCATTCAGAAAATCATGACATCAATTGACACCAGAAATTCAAATTATGAGTCCAAGGACTGACTTGTGTGATACTTGTCAGCATTTTAGAGATGGTTTACATTATAATGCTCGTCAGGAAGAAGAAGCCAAAGGATTACTCAAAAGATTTAAAGAACATCTATTCAAGGCCAAATTAGAAAGAAATTATTATAATAAGAATACCAAATTAGCAGAAGAACAAAGAAAATTAGTCAATCAACATTATTCAAAGGGTGAAACACCATATTGCAGTATTGATGCCACTGCTCATTATAGTTATGATTGAGCCCAAAATGTTCATGTGCCCCATTTAGATCAACAAGTAAGTAAAATTTACTACCTTAGTCCATGTAAAGTTCATTTATTTGGTATTCAAGATGAGGCAGTAAGGGAACAAATTAATTATGTTCTTAATGAAAATGAAATTATAGGTAAAGGACCTAATGGAACTCTTAGCATGATTTTTGATGGAATTAAAAAATTGAATAAAGGTGAAAAACATTTAAAGATTACTTGTGATAATGCTGGGGGACAAAATAAAAATAATGTAACAATTTGGTTTTATTTATATTTGGTAAT